TCGCTGCATAGGGTGAATAGCCATACATTCACCTGAGGGTAGTAGATGCATGATAATACTCAGTAGTAATGTGTTGTGTATGTTTTACAAGTTCATTCTGTAGCTTAAAACATTCATTAAACCATCTACAGTTAACATGTAAGTCCTGAAAACTTCTAAAATAAACAACGTTACTTTACCTGAAAACGTTTGTGAACAAACGCTGCTGATGGACGTGAAGCTGCTGTAGCTCCTTAATATTCCTGCTCGATTTTCGCTAGCTTTAGCATTTTTCCTTTGCGTGTAGCTGCCGCCACGGCTGTGACGGGACCTACGGGCCACCGTAGAGGTGAAGGCTAGACTGTCCGAATTCAGAGCCGCTGGGTTCCGGTCTTAGCGGTCTGGCAAGGACCCGGCCTTGCTAGACCGGCGAGGACCCGTACTCGTAAGCATCCTGCCTGTGGATTCGGACACACCCGCTGACTGCTCTTTCACATAACCACGTTCGGCAGAACAACTTCCAGTTCAAAAGGCCAACGGATCCATCATCCAATCAGTGATGCCTGTTGTTGCAGCATTGATACCTACCTTTTCCGGGTTGTGTTTTGTTTTTGTGCTTTTCAATTTGTTGTGCGTTTAGTGATTTGTTGTTAGACTTTTCAATGTGTTGTTGTGCTTTTCAATTTGTTGTGCGTTTTGTGATTTGTTTTTGCATTAAGTGATTTGTTGTTGCGTGTTTCAATTTGTTGTTGCGTTAAGTGATTTGTTTTTGTGGTCTGCACTTCAGGGCCACCATACATTTCAGCTGTTAGATTAAGGTGTTAAAAAGACAAACACACAGCAAGGAGACACAATTTGGTTTTGGTTCTTCAAACGGACACTAGGTGGTGCGAAAAGCAAGCCAGACTGCCTAGTTCCCCTTTAAATAATTTGTGTAATGGTGCATAAAATAAGTATTTGACCAGTAACAAAAGTTCATCTCTAAGTATTCTTTCTAATGTAACCTTAATTGGCAGTGACAGAAGTCAAAGGTTTCCCATATCTGCACCAGGTTTGCACGTAGGGTTGCACAATATATCGAAAAATGATCGTCATCGGGATAACAGGACATACGATAGGCCCATCGAAAAACGTGTCAGAAAGGGCGATAAATGTTTGGTTCAACATTTCCATCCGTGTCATACATAAACTTTTTGTAAACCAGCTCTGTTTTTTACGCGGAAGTATTATTTGACCAATCAAATGTAGCCCTTCTGATATGCGGCCAATCAGATGGGTCCATTCACGTAATACGCCCGCCCCCTACGTAGACCCTTTAGGGATGGAAAGCAACAACCCGAATTGAGTTTGCGGCGCTGTTCCCTTGTTCGTCATGCTGGCTCAGAGCAACGAACGCACTTTGTGCTGAGGTTTCTGGAATCAGCGCTGCTTTAAAACGTGAACGTGAGTCCGCTCGGTGTCGTTAATCATTTTTACCAGGCTGACTCCGACACGTGCCGGTGAACCAACCCACCTTCAAGTCGCTAGTGTTCCACCGGGTGGTGATGTTAGCCCCAGGCTCCGGTTAGCTTCCAGCTAAAAGGCTACAGCACTCTCCTCCCAGTCCCACCCTGCTAAAGAGGGCCTGGAAATGTTCCCCCACACATCAAAGTGATTTTTCCTTTATGAGTTTTTATAACCTTGTTAATCAGGATAGTTGATTTGCTGCTGCACATAAACTGTCAGTCAGAAGCTCTGCTAGCCGGTTATCTTAAGAGGAGCTAGTTCGATTTGTTAGCTTGTTATCAGAATCATAGTTGCAGTTTCATCATCTGAGCTGCTTTTTAAGATCTAGGTAAACTTGTTCAATTTGGGGTTAAAAACAAACGTTTTCACAAATTTTCCATGTAGTTTTTTGCCAGTTCCTCTTCTGAAAGGTAGACAATTGTTTTTCTCTTTCCCTCAGAAAATCTTAATTTTCTCCTAGTTTGGCCCGGCACAGATCACTTCCCAATTACAGCAACAGCCTTATATCATAACCAAATAAGTGGAGAAAATGCTCAGTAGCAATGAGAGAATTTGCTGTTGCATTTAAGTGATGTTAACTATTATTTAACATTTAAACTTACTTTCAGTTTTTTTTAATTCAAAAAACCCTGGTAAGGGATGTTTTTCTGTATTTGGAGCATCAAAAAAAGTTTTATGGTGGAGGTGATGTTTTAAAGTCACTGAGAAACTGCATGCATGCAGTTTGTTGTTTTGCTGCTAATACAGTAGCAGGTGCAGCTGCATATTTTTGCAATAAAAATGTTATGTTGTAATGGAATTCAAGCATTCGTTTTTGTTTGCTCTGAACCCAGAGCAGACGTCACACGCCAGATGACATCAACACTGCATACTTTAGTATTTGTTCATTTATCGCAAGTAATATCGACATCGCAATATTAAGCACTGTTATCGAATATCGCAGGTTTTCCTAATATCGTGCAGCCCTATTTGCACGTATGGCATTCTTCCATGCAGATCTTCTATAGAGCTGTTTTGGGGCTGTCGCTGGGCAACATGGATCTTCAACTCCCTCCACAAATTCTTTACTGAACTGAGGTCCGGAGATTGGCTAGGTCACTCCAGAACCTTGAAATGCTTTTTACATATCCACTTCTTCGTTTGCTCAGATGATGCGCTCCATGCTGGTAGATCCAGCTGCATTTCATTTTCAATGCTCTCAGTGATGGAGGAAGGTTTTTACCCAAAGTCTCATGATACATAACTCTATTAATCCTTTCCTTCCTGTCCCCTCTGCAAAAAAGCAGCCCCTAAGCAGGTGTTGAGATGTAAATGAGCATTATTTCCCTCCGAACACTGCGATTGATAATTATAGCAAAAAGTTCTATTTTGGTCTCATCTGACCACATCACACTTTCCCAGATGCTCTCTGGCAAGCTCTCTTCCGGTCATTGAAGAAGAAGATTATTTATAAAGCACTTTTCACAGACGCAAAGTGCTTCACAGACACTTGACCAGTTCATTCATGTAGTACTCGGCCATTTCCTCACCGTTCTTAAGATCATTTGTACCCCATGAGGTGAGATCTTACATGGGGCCCCAGGTTGAGGGAGGTTGTCAGTGATCATTTATTTATTCTGTTTTCTAAAATGTGCTCCTTTAGTTGATCTCTTCTTACCTAGTTTCTTCCATATTGTAGATTGACTCATCCCAGTGTTTACAATCCTGTCCCTGGTGTCCTTAGACAGCTCTCAGGTCTTGGCATTGGTGGAGATTGGAGTTTAACTGAAGGTGTGGACAGGTGTCTTTCATACAGATAATGAGTTTAAGCATGCACCATTATTGCAGGTAATGAGTGGAGCAAAACAGCTTAACGGAGTAACAGGTCTACAAGGGCCAGATTTCTTGAATTTCTGTTTGTCCTAAATACTCTTTTTCTGCAACATTATACAAATAAATTCTTTGAAAGTCACATAATGTTAATTCCTGATTTGTTTCCATTCTGTTCCTCATAGTGGAACTGAACCTATGATGGAAAAAAACAAAATTTGCCAAACAAAATTTTTAAGACCGGATGTTTTTGATGAATGCACTAAGGTCATCAAAAACATCCAGTGGCCTAGTGGCATGAGTGTCCAATTCCATGACTTGGCTCTTTTCTGCACACGGTGTAATAGGGCTGGGCAATCAATCGAAAATGTATCGTTATGGAAATTTCTGACACTTATCGAGATAATTTTTCCCATGTCAATAAATTTGATGATAAAAATAAAATAAAAGATGTGCAGGGTTTCCCCCAGCACTTTATAAGCCTGGTGGCCCGCCATCAGCTATAAACTAGAGGCCTCCATCAGCTGATAGTGGTGAGAAACAGCAGTGGAACGTGTGCAACCCCCCACCCCCACCCCCGCTCTCACGGAGGAGCGGGACGGGACATGTGACAGCCCCATCTAGTGGACAACTTTTGTTTCTTCGCATACCTGTAGTTATTGTCCATTTATTGGTCCATTTATTTATTTATTTCAAAGCGAAATCCTCAATATATTGTGATATTAATTTTAGGCCATATCGCCCAGCCCTACGGCGTAATAAAGATTTGTTTTTACCTTTTTTTGCTGACAAGTTTCGGCTAACTTCTGTAGCCTTGCTGAGAGCATTGTCGGGAGGGTATAGGATTACTCTTGCAACAACACATCATCAGAAGCATAAAACTAACCTGTCTCACAACGGTCCAATCCTAGTTCACCTTCCTTTTTAGTGGGTGAACAATTTAATGCTTGGTGAATTCTACAGAGGAAGCAAAGTTAGCCCCAACTTGTCAGCAAGAGAGGCAAAAACTATTCTTTATTACGCTGTGTGCAGAAAAGAGCCAAATAATGGATTTGATAAACAACATTGAATAAACATAGCAAAAATGGGAGATTAGGGTGCAAATCCCGGCTGGGTCACACCAAAGACTTTAAAAATGGGACCCAATGCCTCCCTGCTTGACAATCAGGTTTGAGGGGTTGGATGGGGGGTTCGACCACCAAATAGTTCCTGGGCGCAGCCACAGCTGCAGCACACTGCTCCCCACGGGAATGGGTCAATGAGGAGATGTAATTTCACCCGTGTGTGATGACTAATGAGACTTCAGTCCTGATACTCCATTTGTCTGCTTTAAGAACAGAAGTGGTTCGATGCAAATCTGCAAAGACAGCCTACGTAGGGTTACACCAATCACAACTGCTGTTAGGACGTATTAAGGCAGTGGTCCTCAATAGGCGGCCCCCGGCCCCGTCCCCAACTGGACATATTAAGACAGGGTTCTGCTTGGGAGAAATAGTGACCAGTAGGCATCTCCAGCATCAAAACACACAGTAAAGAGCCTTCAGTCAGTTTTGATGCTACTCAACACTTGCATCCCCTCTTGAATACTCCCTACTCTTCCCCTAAATAAGCTGACAAAATGAATCTTTTATTGGTTTGAACAAACTAAAAGTAAACTTTCCCCCTTAAAAAAGGCAAGTAATAACCAGACACACAGTGCAACGATAGACATAAGAAGATATAGATTTTAATATAAATAAATAAACAATGTTGTGCAGCTGTTTTTTTTTTTGGATGATGATGTTAACTTACTGAACAATTTAATTATGACAAAGAAAGAACAGATGGGTCATGTAGCGGAACAAAGAAGAGGGGTGTGTGTTAACAAAAACGGCATTTATGAAAATATAACATGAAAAATCAACAAATCAACTGAAAAATCATAAACTGGCACGCTCCTCTTGACGAGAAGAGCTGAAAACCCTGTTATCATTGATGCCACTGATATTGTTTCCCCATATGAATACAGTAATCGATTAATATTAGCACTGCAGGATGTCCCCTTGTCTCCATCCTACAGTTCAGTCATCGATACAAACGCCATCAAATCAGTGTGTATTTGCGGGAGGCACAACAGCTCCAGAAGAACAAGATGTCTCGTAATTCTCTAAAAGTCTACATTTCATGACTTCTGAGGCGCTTGTCTTCTTTTTGGATCCTCACATCTGTGAACAATCACACCCGTTAAGGAAGAAGCAGGTTTCCTCATAATCCCAGGTAGCCTAGATCAGTTCAAATCATTCCTTTGATCGATTATTAACCACAAGAGTGTTTCAAGGTACATTTTTTGCAGGGGTTCTGTTCTTGTGTACCTTTAAAGTTTTAGTACTTAAGACAAAAAATTTGATCTCCACGTTCACAAGGAGAACGAGGGGGGAGATGTCCTTGCCGAAGAGGGAGCAGTTCAGCACGAACTCGCCGTGAAACGGAGAAATCTCCGTTTAACCCATGACCTCCAAGGCTCCAGTTGGCCCCTGCAGCAGGGGCGTGTCCCTAGGTCCACTGTGTGTCGTAGAAAAAACTTGAACAACGTCTGACACAAGATATAGACAGACTTCTCATTATTCACAGCTTGATTCCCCACGGATGCACATCGGTTTCAAAGCAGGTGAAAATAACGAAATGGCAAATCTTTGAATCAATTAGCTGCTTAATCTTTAGCTGCAGAGAACATAAATGGAGATGAGAGGAGGAGAAAAAATGTGTAGGCTGAAGATGGAGTAACTGAAAATAAAAGTGTATGTAGGGAGTAGAGTTTATGACCTGTTACGGCTTCATGTTCGGTGTAAATTTTAATGAATGTCCCTTTTATGGTGATAAAAATCCGTCTTTACTCTGAAGTAGAGCCATCTGTTTTATGCTGTCTGACAACTTGCTGGCAAATTTACTCTCCTTTGCTCATGGTGATGGAACAACATCTGGAACAAAGAGTGAGACTCAACCTGGAGGCTTTTTCCTGTTCATCAGCCTTCCGTTAATACCGTTGAATGTACAATTCACAAACACAAAATCGTCTACCTTTTACCTTTCTTTAGCTGTCATGTCTTTTGACGCCCTGTCATTTTTTTCAAACTTTGGTTATCTAAGCTCCAGCTGAGTTAAACAAAAAGTTATCAAAAGTATAAGACACGAGATGCGTGGTGATGAAATCGTACTGGCGCTGGCAGTGCAAGCTTATTCCGCATTCACCTTCTGTTCTTCTCAGTCTCTCTGATTTTTGTGCTCTGAATCTTTCTCTCATAGATGATTGATGCTTTGATATCTATTTCAGTTTGAACAATAAAGCTCCCCACAAGAACATTTACACACGTCATCACACACACACCCACACACACACGTAAAAGACACAGGCCTTGTTGTGCAGGAGCAAGAGAAGTTCTGACGGCTGTGCTTTTGTTCTGATTAGCATCTGTTTAACCTTCCGAAGGTCAATGGAGGATGTGATCAATATGTGTCAGTATCAAGGCCACAAAGAGGGCTTGGACTTGTAAAGACTTCGATAAGGGTGCTTTATTGTTGGCTTGCTGGACCCCACTAGGGGGGCGAACAGTGGTCCGAGGAGAGCACTTCTGCTTTCTTCGAGTGACTGTGCCATCTGGAGATGTGTGGTCGTGTTTTCCCCCCTCTGAGAAGTCTGGGAAGGAGTCCTCCTTGTCTGCCATGACCTCCTTTGAATGATGGACCTCATTATCACCTTTCTTCTTGCCCTCTCTGTTGCGAGGCTTTGTGCAGTTTTTCGGAGGCCCGGGCCTCGAGGGGTGCACGACGTGGGTGTGCCCTCCAGAGCCCACGGCTACTCCTCGATTCATAGATGGATTCACTGTGCCAGATAAATTGTTCGTCTGAGCTCTGGACTCAGAAACAGTTGGCGAACAGTTGGAGAAGTCCTCCTTGCGTAGCTCTTTGAGGTCTTTCCCAACCATATTAATCGGAGCTTGGCAACCCACTGAGGATGTCGAGCCTCGGAAATGCTTCAGCCATTCCCATAGCGACAGGGCCTTGCAGTCACATGACCAGGGATTGTCGTTAAGCCGTAGGTATTCCAGAGAAGGCAGCGTGTCCAGACACTGCCCGGGCAGCTCTACAAGGGAGTTGTTAAACAAGTAGAGCATGGTGAGACTTTTCAGGTCGTGGAAGGCCAAACGGTGGACCCATTGTATCTGGTTTTTGTGTAAAAGCAAACGGTCCAAGGCTTGGAGACCTCTGAAGGTGTCCTGCTGGAGGTTCCAAAGACGGTTTCCATGCAGGAACAGGTGGCTGAGGTTGTGGAGATCCATAAAGGTGTTATTCTGCAGGAACTTCAGATGGTTATCCTTAGGAGATAGAGGAAAATAATCAGAAAATGTGCATTTAAAGCCACAGTGTGCAACCTTTCCATTTTTTAAAATCATTTTCTTGAGCCAATATGTGCTAAAATGACCCTTTACGGGGTTAATGAAATGCTACTCAGAATCCTACCGCCCTCTGTGGCCAGAATATCACACTTGCAACTTCAGAGTGGCGGGCCATGATCTGTTGGACTTAAAAAAAGTTGGAGCTGGCATACCTGGAGCTGGAGTCTGCTTCCAGCACGTTTCCTGCATGTTTTAGATTGTGAACACAGCTAATTTGATTGATTTGGTGATGAACCAACCCTGTAGAAACTAATGAAGGCTAAGGAGACATTTAGCAGTAAGATTAGGGTGTTAAAAAGTCGAACCCACAGCAAGGACATAAGTTTCACTTTTGGTTCTAGTAAACAGACACTAGGGGGTGCTACAAGCTAACCAAAACTGCCAAGTGTGCCTTAATAGGAAAACTGTGGTATTTTCCTTTTCTGGTGCTCTTTTATAAACCTCTTAGATTTGATTGTACATTTTAGTAAATAAAGCACAGTGTGGATTAAAAAATCAGCTGTTTTTAATTGACTGCCAAATAACAATGAAGCTACGTGCATCAAATGTAGTTGAGGTCAGCACATTAGAGCACCAATAGCAAAGGACACCGTATCTCCAGTGTGTGCTATACTTTGGATGTCCTGGGACCATTCATGGATTGAATAGTTTCATTCTCCCAGCCACCGTTTGAGTTTTTAGCATCTTAGCAAAAATACATTTTTGGAACATCTTGCTAAGAGCAGGGGACAGACGGTCTTTTTTAGACAACATGTAGGTCTCTTTGCACTACAAAGCAGCCTCACGGTTGGTGATTAATCTTCTGTAAAACATTTAACAGGAACATTGTGCCCTACTGCACAAAGCAAGGTACGACTACAGGAATAATTGAATCCATGTTTGAAACAGAAGCTGCTTCGATGTTTTAAGATCTTCCAAATTTTGTGGAAAACACAAAGATCTGGGTCAGAGTTCATGGCATTGTGAAGTCTGGGATGATGGTGCAAATCCATGCCTGCATGTGTGCAAATTTTGGAACAAAAAAGGATAAATAATCATGCAGAGGTCACATTCAGATGAAAAAACGGTTGTATTGTTCTCAAGCTAAACATTTCTAGGAATGATCTAGTGTTTCCTACAACAGACTTCATGTTCAAGCTGTCAGAGCTGGAGAATCTATAAGAAAACATACTTGCAGATAGAGATATTGTAGATTTCTGAGGCCTCGAAAGATGTCATTAGGAAGTGAAGTGAGACCACAGCGGTAAAGATGTAGAGCATTAAGTCGTCTCAGACCACGAAAGGTGTCCTCAGCCAAGGAGCGCAGGTGGCGGTTGTCTCCCAGGTCCAGCTCCTCCAGCAGCGTGAAGCCATGGAAGGTGGATGGCTCTATGTAGGTGATGTTGTTGGAGTAGATCCAGAGCTTGATGGTGTTGGGGCTGAAGTGGCCTCGTAGCAGGCGATGGATTTTGTTGTTCTGTAAGAAGATGCGTTCACTGTCGGGTGGAATGCCGTCGGGGATCGTCAGGAAGTTGTGGGCTTGGCAAGAGACGGTGCTAGGTGCAGAGTAGCAGATGCAGTCACGCGGGCAGGACCAGGAAAACTTGAGCCCACAGAGAAACAGCAGGAACTCCAGCCCAGAGCCTGCAGAAACATTAGATAAATTAAATGCACAAGAATGTCAAATAACATCACTTTATCGTTTAAAAGTACAAAACCTTAACAGTTTATGGAAAAGAAAAGTGATCTACTGCAGTTACAGTGACTGTAAAGATGTACAATCAACCTGCAAACATTCTCTGTGGCAATGCAACAAGTGGTTTGGGGGGAAATGTAACTGGTTAGCATGTTTAATTTCACCCAAGTCAGAATGTTTTCATTCTAAATAATTTTCAGATGTTTTAAAAACTTAAAAGATGGAAAAACTTCAAACTGCAGTTTGGTGGATGAAGAAAACTGAAAGAAAATAGTAAGTCATTTAGACCTAAAATATGTGATATTAATCAATTATTAAAGGTGTACTAGAACTATATTTTTGACAATAGAAAACTGTTCCCTAAGTCTATATATAGCAAACGGAACTTTGTTGGGGCTCACAATGACCCAGGAGTCCTGATAAATGGCCAAATACAACCCCATGATAAAGCCCTACAATGGAAAGACTCAACTTATCCAGGAAATTAATGTTTAATGAGCTGCATGCTGATTGGCTAGTTTACCCTGATGGTTCTATGACTCCCCAAAGCTAGTAACTGTGTTTTGAGTGTGTATGCAAGCTGTGGACATATCTGACATCATTCTAATTTATCGTCTAGATCAGTGGTCCTCAATAGGTGGCCCACGGGCCATGTGCGGCCCGCGGGCCCCCTCTTTGTGGCCCCTGAACCCCGCATCCCCCCCGGGGGCGACAAGCACACGGAAGGCGTGCTGAGGGGAAGGGACAGGTGTTGTCCTTTTTTCTATTGTAAGCTTGTGTGTTATGTGCATTACAGCCAGCGATCCAAACAGCAGCAGCAGCACCCCCGGGCTGGACCTCTTGCTTCTGGGTCTTTTTTTTTTGAGTGGCCCTCGGACCATTATAACTGAGGACCCCTGGTCTAGATATCCCCAGTACATCCTTTCATCCAACAGGGACGTTAGCAGTATCTCAGGCTAGTGTTAGCAGTAGTTGGGGCTAGCATTAGCAGCAACTCAGGCTAGTTTTAGCAGTAACTCGAACTAGCATTAGCAGTAGCTCGGGCTAGCACCTGTTTGTGATTAACATTTCTGTGACTAAGGTTTGTATCTTGCCAACGTTGAAGAGGGTTGGGACACATTAATGTAAGGCTGTGTGCCTCAGCTGATGACAACTTAAACCAGCTTTTCTCAGAATGACCCGCTTCTCTGTCGGGTCCCTGTACACAGGAAAGCAGGTCTGAGATGGTGGACTAAACGGTACGCTACATTCAACACCACAAGCTGCCTTTATTCAACAAGGTAAATGTGGATTTTAATTCCAGGACCACTTTAAGCAAAATTTCCTTCTCAATCATTTCGCTCATTGTACGCTCATGGTGCGTTTTCTTCAAAGCATTAACTGGTTGATATTTTTTCCTCACGACACAGAGATTTGTACACATCTGGACCTTCCTGTCTCAGATTTTCCTGTCTGAAATCCATGAATCTGTTGTAATAACAAAAGAAAAAAGTATCAGAGACAACAACAATGGCACCTGCTTCGCTGAGTCACAAGATTTCTCACTGATTCCAATTGGATTCTTGCTGCACTGCTCCCATTTCGTCTGACACACACGCAGCTTTTCCAGAAATTACCCTTTCCAATACTCTGCCACCTTCGGGAGACGCGCCGTGAAAAGCCCAATTCCTTTCCCCCCACAGAGTCTGCTGGCATTTCTATCAGTAGAGTTAAGGCTGTGATCAGTCAGTTTGCGTTGTTAAATGGGGTGTAGAATGAATTTTTTTAAACTTGTAGTCAGCTGCTCCGGGGCGTTTTCTGATCAGTGACATGATTCCCCAGATTCTCGACATGGGGGATGTGACGTTTCCACAATCGCATCACGATGAGCACAACTCATGGCAGTTTATCTGACCAACCCAGGGCTGTCTACTCTACTTATTATTCACAGCCCAGTGGAAGCTGGATTCACTGTTTCCAATCGATACGCCACCTTTGCCTTTTAACCCACCCATTAATCCAGGTCTTTTATGCTGGAAATTCCAGAGCAGACCCTTACCCCTAGAGACAGGCCTATTTGTCTGAATGTATTTTCTTGCCAAACTGCAGCTAAGCGGTGACATTCAGCGTCTGACTCTGCTGACCTTTAGCAGTAATTCTCGGTGTCTCGCTGCAGAGCCGGAGCACAGAGCTGTGTGTCACCTGAACAGGCGTGTGCTCTCTTGGGCATGGATCTAATCCTATTTGTTAAGCTCTGCCACTGGGCAACAATGGAAATGCATGCAACCTCCTCAACTAGAAATGTGCTCAATTTATGAGGTTATTCTTCATGCTTGAACGCTATCAAAAGTTTGAAAAAGAGTGTGTTCCTGTGCAACGTTGTTCTACGTTGGTGAAACTGTTGGATCGGAAACCATGTCACAGCCTGAGAGCACCTTATCTTTATTTAGACGTCAGATTTTACCATCACATCCTGCGTTTGGGCGCGGATTCTTTAGTATGTTAAAGGCTGTTTTCAGTTTTGTAACACCTTCAAGCCCAAACAAGACAGCTTCTGAACCATTTGATCACTCTGCGGGTTCTTTTCTTTCTCTGTTAAAAACATTTCTCACTACTTGCCATTTCCATGAAGATGTACAGTATCAAGCATGGCACCTGCTGACTGAGTAAAGTGGTGAAAGTGTTTTGCGTCACTCCTGGGAAATAGAGCTTGCTTTGTTTATCAGACAAATAAGACAAGACACGGTAAATTTTCCAGCTGATCTGTGAAGAAAAATCAGCATTAAGCAGCATTCACCTGGTGCTTGAGACGCAGCGTCCTAAATGTGAACGTTGGTATCAGTTCATATTGTATTGGACTGCTGACCCTCATGGAGGAAAGGACTTTATGGAGTGACAAAGAAATAAAAATAATCTAAGCTGTCATGTTTTTTTACTTGTTCTAAGATTAGATGAGTATTTTAAATCCGCTATGATTACAGAAATGTATCCAACAATGGAAAAAAAAACAATCTTCTCACTCAAGTGAGACTCCATTAAACCCTTCCCTCATGCATATCTTCAATGGAAAACAAAATTCCAAAAGAAAATGATCCGAGTAAATGAGAAACAGAAAGTGATAAGCTTGATACAGTCAGGGCGGAGAACGAGGACGTAGATGCTGCCAAGATAGTGAGACAATTGAAATCAGTGATCTGCTAATCATGTTCTACACATAAAGATACACCCCCTCCCAGCTCTCGTAGCTCTGTTTGAAATTGTTGCCTTTTCTTAAAAAACGCTCATAGAACAAAGCCAGCAGACACTGTATACACATTTATTACATGGGAACTCTAATCTTTCCATCCATTTCTCTCCACGTATTTAAAATTGGATTGCCAAGGCAACAGATCCAGGAGGGAAGCCCAGACATCCCTTTCTCTACTCGACTCCTCTCATCTGAACCTTTATAAAGAAAGCACTTTTCAGACTAATTCATGCAGACAAAGTGCTGTGCAGACGTGCATCAAACGACAATGCATAAAACCTTATATAAGCAATAAAAATAGCAACAATGTCAGCCATCCCGACAATTGAAAGGCAGAGAATACAAATGGGTCTTCAGTCTTAATTTTAAAGTCAATACCAAGAGGACTGCTTAATATGCAAAGAATGCTCATTCCAGAGTTTTGGAGCCACCACTGAAAAAGCTCTATACCCTCTCGTTTTCAACCAAGACTTTGGGTTGAGAGCAGTAACATTTTCAGAATGTGGGGGGGGGGGGGGGGGGGGGGGGGATGCAATGAAATTAACTTTAAAATGGATCCTTACAAAGATTAGGAACACTAAAGCCTAATTTACACAGTACCCAAGGAGTGGGGACACTGTCCAGCTCATCCAGGTGATCCCAAGCCATTCCCAGGCCAGAAAGGATACATAATTCCACCACAGTATCAGAGGGAAGTAACTTGGCAATATTGTAATCAGTAGCCTAAACTACCCTAACGTCTCCTTTCTGATGAGGAGGAGCAGCTGTTCTAATAAAACCCCAGTCAGCCACTCCATCCTTTGCTCTGTCCTCTGTCTTTCACTCCTTCCCTTCAGGCAAAGCTCCAATACAAACCTGCAGGAAGCATTCCGCCCTTTTCTGGTATTGGATTTGGAGCAGCTGACTCTAATGTTCATGGCTTGTAGACACTAGTAGAACCCTTAAATCTGCATAACAGCAGATTTAAGACCCCAATGTGCTTAAACTAGACACTCTACACCAGTGGTTCCCAAACTTATTTAGCCGCGCACCCCCTTTTATGTCCCGACCATGTTGACGCACCCCCCAGCCCCACATCAGGGCATGGCTATAGATATATATATATATATATATATATATATATATATATATATATATATATATATATATATATATATATATATATATATATATATATATATATATATATATATATATATATAAACCAGGGGTCGGCAACCTGTTCCCATCAAAGAGCCATTATTACCCGTTTCCCACAGTAAAGAAAACATCGCAGCAGCTGCGGCGTTGTGGGCGGGGCCTACCCTCAGACAGCAGAGCGCTGCTCACAACAGGTGACAGAAGCTGGTACTGGTCGCTCGTGTACGTCAAAGCTGTCTTTCATAAGAAGATAATCAATAAAACGATTTACATAAAGTGGATCCAGAAGTTGTAGCCCGTCTCTGCCTACAATATTTTGATATTTTTCACCCTGTTGGTGGTTTTACTGAGCAGGTGCCACTTTTGTTATACGTTTCTTTTTAAAACATGTTTAGACTGTTCAGAATACAAATCCAGGCTCTGTCACATTTGATTGTTGTAATTAAATTTTGTAGGTGGGGAAGGTCAGAAAAGGATCCGATCAATTTGTTTTTCCCTCATTTACAGCGACAGAGAAAACGGCGCAGTGCGCCTGGCTCTGGTGTTAATCAAGTTTAATTTGTAACAATTTTCACAAGAAAA